GCAAACTTAATATTCAGATTTACGTCATGAATGTCAGTTTTCATAATAGTAGCTTTCGTAGCTATTACACTATGCGAAAGTTCGCATCCATCGAATCAGTACCCATGCAGTAGTGCAACTACCGATGCACTGTCTTCTGCTGGCTGTGCGGCTGGCTGGTCAGCTACTTCGGTACTGAAACCGTTAACATATCCTATAATTAAAAACGTAGTGGTGTTAAACAGGCTTGGCTAATTCCAAAGTCCTTTAGAGATAACTGCCAGACTCTGCGATCTAATCATAGGCGCCGCACAATATAAACATCGCGAGCGGTAAGATAATTACAAGGCCCGAAGTTTATGAAGAAACTGGTCTTCGGATTTTTCACTGAACACCGACTAAAGTTTATATTGATCATTATAAGAGCAAGCGTAGTGAATCTAGATGTTTTTTTGTAATACTCAAAATTTTATATCATCGTTGGTCGCCTTGCCGGTCTATAGACCTTTTCCTTGTACTACTTTGATAACGATGTCACCCGAAGGAATTGGCGGATTACTGACAAGTGACTAGCGGTAGCCATAACTAAACTGAACAATATGCACTGGAGGTTACGCTAGATTGTGTGGCACCATAGACTGCTCACAAGGATGGAATAGTTTTCGCTATGATGAAAATTCGCCTCCAGTCCTTTGAAATTCTACCAATCTTGCAAATAAGTATGAGATAAGGCCTCATTTGATAGGCGTATAATATTTTGTAGCATGATTCAAGCCTTTACAACTATTCATGTCGGACTGATATCATTAAACTACACTTTTCCACTGATTTATCACGGATGAGCGTGTTTCAAGCACTGGAAGTGGAATCTAAAATGGAGATTACTCCACCCAACAGGAGGGATGTAGCAGGAGGAAGTACTATACAAATTCTCCACCTTGAACTCTGTGATACTCTTCGTATCGTCTCACAAGCGGATGCTGTGATGCGGCTCTGATATTCGAAAAAATCAGAGATTACTGCTGGTTGTTGTCCTTCTCAATTGTTAACGGATTTACCTAATTGAAGAAGTGGTCAGTGCTCCATATGAAAATCCGAACTGCAGGAAACAGAAACAGTATACACATGCACACTTGAAACACTACTGTGAAAGCACAACATTCAGTTTGCTCTAACGATTCAATATGGTGAAATTGAGTACACCTGTCAGCGTGTGGCTGGGTACTGGCGCTCTCCATGTGTTGGATCGCTGCGAACGACGGCTGTTTATCAGCAATTACCGTAATTAAGGGTACAATGCTATGGCGTTATTCGAATAGGAGATGGATGGCCCAAGATTTTGCCTGTCGACAAGATAAAATGAAAAACCTTCTTCTCGCATTGTGCTTGATTTAATGCTGAACGTTTGAAACCTAGTTTCTCTTAGGAAACTTTGAATGAGACTATATAAGTTATTTAGCTATTTTAACTGTACTGATCATCAAATCAAGAAACTTTTTCCTATTTGATGATTAGTTCTAATGCATTTGAGTTTTTGTTTCTACTATCATTTATAGCAGCTTCTTGCAATGAGTTTGATACACAACACTTATATATCTGTCTTAAAATACAATTGTTCTTAGAGCAAAAACGGTCGCATGCTTCGAGAGTATCGTCACGTGGCGAAGCAGCGATAGAATCTAAACGATACTCGTGTAGCATCAACAGTCGTTTTTTGCTCTCGAAACAATTTCTTTTTTGAACAAATGCATAAGTGTCTTATATTAGAATAGCTGCAAGAACTGATCTGAGCTTAACTAAAAGCAAAAACTTAAATGAATGGAAAATAATCAACAAAACACGAAAAAGTCTGGAAAATTTCTTGCTAATCTAATATTTTCTTTGACAGAGTCATCAAATTTGCCTACTCTTAGGCTTTCTGCTGTTGAATAAAGGCATCAGGCTCAAATCAAAAGTTCTGGCTTCACCGTACTTATCTTTCTAAGAATTTTGTAGTGCATTGTTAAAGATGGCCTGTAAAGGTCTAATCTCTTATTCAATTTCGCACTCCAGCTCAGCAGGAGCGTTATTCTTCCAATTCGACAAAGTGCCAGTCTTGTCTAGGAAAAGAGCAATACTTGTAATTGATGCTCATCGTGAGTCGTCTTGTAGTCACATGCACATTCAATCAGTTGTGCGATACTTAACGAAATCAAGTGCATGACTCAACTCTTGAGGGACCGTTCAACTCGTAGAGTTGTATCCTCTAATTCTTATGACTTTACGAATGACGAAAAAGCTATGCATATTGCATTTCCATTTTTTCTAATGATTTTCTGCTTAAGCGAGATCTTCATCTGAGAGAATCGCGTAGAAAGCATGAGAGCTTTTTACTACCACTTACAAACTCATTACTGAGCTATTGCTGTAATGAAAACAGCTCTCACACTAATTCACTCTCTCATTAGACTTTCAACATCTAGCAGACCTTCATGCCAAACGTTAAGCGTTGAGGAGGAAAAACTGAATATGACCTTTGATGAGATTTTTCCGAGAAACTAACCATTTTTTTAACAATGCAGAAATTGGTGGGCTGTAGAAGTCTTATACAAACATCAATGTGTTTAGTATGAAACAACTGAAACGAGAAAATCGTTAGAGAAACGAGTTGGCAGTGCTCTTTTGAAATTTTGTAGTTAATACTTGTGCATAATTAAATCATCCATAATAATCGAATAATAAAAATAATTTTAGTCCATTGAATAATCCATTACGATTGTGGTAGTTATATTCAGCACTCATTTACAACAATCTGTGATATCCTTCTCTAGTAGAAATCAGTAATACAACAGACGTGATCGTTGCCGTTATTCGTGCGGCTGGTGATGTCGTCGAGTCTATCCATCAGCCGTTTTGTGGTCGTCGAACATCACCGACGTCTCGAATCGACATCATGTAACGGCAATGTCAAAGGTCTTCGTGTCGCTCCCGAAACGGCAATTATCAGTAATGCTCCTGCGTCGACGTAATGTAAAAAGTCAGCGATGAGATGACGCAACGTTACGCGAACGGAAAGCGGTGCCGCTGGCCAATCAAAGTGCAGGTGGCTGGTAATTGGCCAATGACCGATCGAAGTCAATCCCGTACACGTTTGACCGCACATGCCGACACACCGTAATGAGGTATGAAGAGGTTAATCACCGCCAACAATACGATCGACCGACAGTGACCACCGTGATTGCCGCCAAACACGAAAGCAAAACTATCCCAGCGGGTAGTCGCTTCATGTACTAAGCTATTACCAGTTGCTAAAAAATCAATATTTTCTTTCTTTAGTGGAGAAAAAATTGTTTTAACATTTTTATAGGCTCATAATTGTAATCCATACACGACTTACAACTTTTGAAAAGCATTCCTAAATGAAGGATAGAGCGCATTGATCCATTCCTGATGTATGCGCCATGTAATAATCTTCATTAAGCATCGTTTGATATAATTGAATAATATCTAGACCTTACAATGACGCGTGGGGTCCTACCAACGTATCAGATTAGTGCTACTTCTTCCGGGAAACACCTGTTATCATAAGCATCGATCCCAGAGGCATGGAGGGTGTGATGGGCCTTATCTGCGGGATCAAACCATCGACTATCTAGTGGTTGGCTACGTGCGTGTCGCAGAGCACTTCTAACCACTACGACACATGCGCTTCTGAATGTATCTATAGAAAGGGAAGTTAGCATTTGGGACGGTGCATCTCGAGTGCATACGGATAACAAATTATGAATGATTGGAATTACAAGTTTTATGAAATACGCAATGATATGAATGCACAATTTCGAAGATTTCACATTGCATGAGAAAGAAATTGAAATACACTGACTGAGTGTGTAATAAGATTCCTGTGCTTTGTAGAACACGAAAAATTGACGATATGAACGTACATCCAAACCCTGTCCAAAAGTTGAAGAGCTGTATGGGAGTCTGAAGATAGTAGCTAACATAGTAACAAAGTAGTGAGATCGAGCAAAGAGGTTTGGAGGATTTCAACAAATTAGCGGAGATCATATTCAATTTCCTCTTTATAAACACTGAGAGCTATTTCTCCAAAAGTTTACCATCCAGGAATTTGAAGAATGACTAATAGATCGGAAAGTAGAGCCTCCGTAAAATTGGAAGTTGTACGCCTATCTTAGAAGCCGATTGATGCGAATGCATCACATAGTCACAAAGAAAGTGTGTCCATACCGTCAGATCTAGGGAAAAAAAGGCATTCGTAAACAAAAAAAGGATTTTACCTACTTGATGGTTACAACAGAATCATACAAAAATAAGAAATTCATTAACATTAGCTTTTCTTATGAACCCATTGCCATAATGAAGTTTATATGTGAAGAATCATTTCACAACGCTTATTATTTCATATTCACCGTTTGCCGATAATTCCGACTCATCTATAAGATTTCTTATTGGCTGCCTCCTCGACGTCACGGCTGCTCATCAACGTGAAACCCCGACCAGCATTCATTTGACGTTCGATGTCCGTCACTGTGATAAAACCATCATGATCGGTGTCCAAAGCCTGTAAAAAGTTCGTTTGCTATAGGTCGCCGCATCATAATTAATGCGACTTGTCTTCGCATGTACGGAGCGGATTCTAGCACATATTCCATTCGACTTTTTCCACTAAAACATCAACAACGAATATCTTCGGATTTTTTGCGCATGAGTCCGTTGTTGCTTGACTTCATTAGTGTTCTTGATTGTTGGTAGAGTCGCCTTTTTGTGGAATTCTTAGGTAGGTAAACTAGGGAGTCCTTATTCAAATTCACACTTAGCGAATCAGACAAAGCGCAGTTTCAAATTCCAGAACCTGAGCACATATCAAGATTTTCGAGCCTGTCGAAGCAACATCGTGCCTGGGGTTGACGGCATCACTATTTTCAAGAGATAGAAAAGTAGATACTAGTAACTACTCGCAAAAATTACAATAAGATAAAATTTATACTATTCAGTATTAATGAGTGATGTGCAAAACTGTGAACGTCGGGCGGGAATCGAACTCGCAATTCACCCTTACCGGGAGCGCATGCTAAGCAATTGCACTTCCGACACTTCTGCCATCAGTCATCACTCTTTCTGCAACAAGACATCGATTCATCAACAACCAACAGTCAACAGTTGGAATATTTGTTTGTAACATCTCACCACCGCTAAAGCGGTTAATTAAGAAAAATTCCACTTGGTCGTGTATAATTTCGTATCAAGCAGAATGCTGTTGAAGATGTCATTTGGTGCAAATACAGTAAGGTGAAAGTCAAGATCGAATAGGAGTTTTAGAAGAGGGAGAAGCTAAATGTGGGCACTCAAAAACCTAACTCAACGGATTCGCTCACCAAAACTGATGATAATGACGTATACCCTAGTGGTAATGATGCTGTTCTTCACGAGCACTGTTCTAGCTCGATCAGCAAACTAATGAACGATGTCGGTACTTAGCAAACCGCTCATTCCTCCGTTGTCGCAAAATTGGCAATAGGCCTATGTGGGCCCAGTTCACTGCCTCTACTCCTCTTAGAAATGCTCTATCTCCGTTGTCTCAGAGCTTTGGGGAGATCCGAGTTAACCAGTAATCAAAGACATTCAGGGCGAAGACGCAGAAACCCTCAATCAACAACTGAACCACACGCGAAATGTTCGAAGACCATCGTGGACGATGGATGCGAGAAAACGATTAGAATGCAAGTCCTGGCATTTGTACAGCAGTTGTGAGATACGGTTCATTCAAAAAAAATCTGATGGTAGGAAATGTAACATATAACACCCACCCGAAATCGTTCCAGGGCAAATTTTCGAATACTTATTTCGTTTGCAGTTACCTGTAATATAGACTTTTGCTTAGCAGCAGATAGTTTGAAAAAAGTTCAGTCATTTTTATACTAAATAAAATACATATCATACGATGTGTAACGCTCAACTCTTTCATACCGACTGCGGAATGACTAACAAAAGAAAACAGTGCATGAAATATCTCAAATGCGTATGAGAACAATTATTGGATCAAATGCGCACACTACATTTCTAAATGTTTCGTATTTTGGAATACATCCAATATGTAGATGAAGTCATCACTGATTAACTGTAAAACTGTTCAGATTTCTGAAACCCTTTCACATACTATCAAAGGAACAAAGGATGGAGCTTTCCGCGTTCATCAGTTCCTGAGAATTGCACTACGCGTTCAGTATCATTTGCGGCATCTCAGAGAGAGTTGGATACATATCTAGCTTATGTGATGACTCATAGTTACCGAACAATGCATGAAGTCAAGGCTGGTATCTTCTCAGAAAGCCTGGTACTAGTTTTCCGATCCACAAAGGATGGAGGCCTTGATGAAAATTGGACCCGAAATAAAACTGGTGACCGTGTATGTCTTGAGATACACTTCTTATCACTGCGTTACAAAGCCCCTCATACATCCTTTAGCTTGAAAAAAACACTGAAAACTATATTCCTATCTGTAGAGTTAAAAGGATATATTGATGAAAGAAAGAGCTTTCAATTGAGAAATAAAGGTCACGTCACTTCACATCACTTCTTCCTAATTTCAGAGTGCTTATCTCACCACTCTCATAACGAAATTTTCTTGATGAAAAGCAAAGATTTTCCAGTAGTCAGCTTTGGTGTGTACATATATATCATGTAGATTTTTGCTATATTAATATAAAGGATAAAGAATAAAGCTCTCGGCATTGATCAATCCCCTTGGGATGCGCCATGCATTCGTCTTCAATTTTTAACTTCGTTTGATGTGATTGAATGCATATCTGGCCTTCACAAGGACTCACGGTGGCCACTCGCTGTATCGAGTCAGTGTTGCTTATTCTCCCAAACAAGTCTGAGACCAGTCTGGTAGCTATTTATCGACCCCGCAGGGATGGATGGCCTGGTGAACCATGAGTGCAAGATCGAACCGACGACCTCGTGTGCGACAGAGAGTAATTCTAACCACTGCGCCAAATGCGCTCGTATATTAATATATTTACATAAATTGCTAAGAAACATCAAGAAAATTCATCAGTATTTGAACAGCGAGATATTTCCCGAGTGAAGTGAACAGATGTTTTTAATGAAATATATGGAATATATACATTTCAGCTTGACAATGTTGGTGACTCTAAAGGTATACTGAATGACGTGCTTACCCATCGATGATGATTGACCGCTGGCATGCCGATAGTGACAGCACCGTCTCCTTCGGGCAAACTATATAGATCGAAGATGCTCTGCACGTATTCACAGAACTCCGACTCGCTTACGAAACCCTAAATCCGAGATCTTTAGGATTACCTGGTTAATGCAACCGTGCCCATCTACCGCTGTATCTTTGCTACTATTAGGTATCTAGCTAAGTTTCCGAACTTGATCCAGAAATAAAAAATTTCTCACAAAAACTAGATTTTCTTTCACCTATTTTGTGCAGAATTTTCAAGCGCATCGCTTGGCATATTTCTGTACATGCTTGTACAACAATGGAGTCGTCACGGAAAGACATTTGCAACTTACTGCTATACGTGTTTGAAGTGGGGCGCAATGTTCAAACTGCATTTAACAACGTCAATCGCGCAAAGGTCGCCAAGTTTTGGGTAGAACTACGGCGTATAAATGATTTACATAGCATCGCAATGGAGTACTAATTTTGCCAATCAAGCAAGACCCGCAAGACCGCGTGAAATTGATCGAGAAGCAATCATTGAAGCGATTGGAGATGATCCGACTTAGTCAAGGAAACAAGGAAGAAGTTGACCGATTTGGGCTGGGAGCACTTGGATCATTCAACGTATTCACCAGATCTGTCCCCATCCGATTTCCATCTCTTCAGATCATTGGAGCACGGACTGGACGAAAAGAAGTTTTGAAACATCAATCACTTGCGTCGAGAATTGACTGGTTGGTTTGCATCGAAGAATGATGAGTTTTATGAGCGCGGAATTGATTTGTTGCCGGAGCGTTGGCAGCATTGCATTCAGGTAGACGGAGACTACCTTAATCAATGTTATTTCATGTTTTCAATTACCTGGAAAAAATAAATTTTTCAGTTTTTGGACTAAGTTCGTAAGCTTAGTTGGAGACCTAATACATGAACTTCCCTGAGATCTACTGGGTACTATTCGACTATGTCGATACGGGAGTGAGTAAATAGCAAGAGTATTTTGTCGCTGTATTCCGATGTAAACGCATTAACTCAGTTATTCAGTACTCTATAAGTAAGCGACTTTGCTAGTATTAAGCGAAGTTCATAAAGAAAGGACAATCGTTAAGCGGTAGACGAGCCCACATGCAAAAATTGGAAGATCTCCGTGGGCAGTGGATAAGAGAAGGAAGAAAAATGTAAACGGAGGGATCTGTTCATTAGATGTAAAAGACGATTTGTACCAACGCGATCGACCGCACGCCATATGGATTCGACGGCCAGCATTTTCCTAACCACCTCCCCTGCCCCCCCCCCCCCCCCTTTCCCACTCGCCTGTGCTTAGTCCACACTCTAGCCGAAGAAACAACGTCGGCGTATGTGAAACTCAATCTTATTTTCCACGTCACATTGTATTGAAACGATATTTTGAGAAAAGCAGCATGGCGTTGGAATCACCGAAACTTAAGCTAACGAATGGTTACAAACGAGTTGCGAAAAGAGCTCTGCCCTACGAGAAATGTGTGCGTTTGGAACACTTTGAAACACAGATGTTTTCCATTTGCTGCAGCAAAATAAAAAGACTTTTTCAAAAAACAGTCACGTAGCGAATTAGCCAGAGTTTTAAGCTTTCGAATGATTAGTGAAAGTAGACTGGAAAACGGAAGAGGTCGTTTCTTCATATACCACCGGATAACAAAAAAGAACTTTCTGCAAAATACTTACAAAATGGCTAATAGGAGAAGAAGAACATTCGAGAAGCATTCTTAATCTCATAGATTAGTAACTTTTTAGACGCCACACTAGTCTTGATTATAGTCACTCCAACGTCCAACGTTGATCCTTACAGCTCGGAAAAAATAAATAAAAGACAGAAAATCGTGGCTCATTTAATATCTACTGCATAGATGTCTACATGACCTCCATACAAAAGTATCCCCTTTACCTCGCTCGTTTCTGATTATGTAAAGCTGTCTTTTTTCGGAAATTAACAAGTTAGCAACATCACGCAATTAATGGGCAGAAAAGGTTCACTTACTTTCAAATCAGGTTTCAAAATTGCAAATACAAAGGTTGCTATGTGCGACGTGTCATTTGGATCTCGTTGATTTTTGCTAGAACAGTTAGCGTCTTCGGTCAACTCCCACAAACAGATGATCAGATCCTTAAAAAATATCAGTTCAGAGTTCTAGATTGATAATATGGAAGAAAAATGATTTACGAACGAAATGATCTATAGAATCAAGCTTAGTGACGATCACTACGAGCTATAGAAAGAGAGAAGCTAAGACTAAAAAGTGTGTACCAAAAATCAACTATGATTTTGAAAGTGATGGCCAAACCAAAAATGGCTAGTGTACCTCAAAGGTGATGTGTGAATGCCCACGAGTGCTTGTAATTGCTGTAAATAACCGATCAGAAAACTGGAAGTTGACTGCATTTGGAAAAAGCAAACGAAATATCGACCGCCATTCAACTTTTGTCATACGACCATTTGGGCACTTCTGAAGTCACTGATCGTCCAATTCTCGAATATGTCAATAGAATTTTGCGCGTACTTGTTTGAAATTTCGGTACATGAACATCAGCCACGCCTTGTTGAATCCAGTACGTTGCTGTAAACTCTCCAACGACGGCGGCTGTGCATTGTATGGATTGGACAGCAAATCTTCGATGTCGATTTCAACTTCTAAAGTCATGGACGGCAATATATTTCCCTTGGTGCTGCAGGTGAAACATTTACGTTAATTTTGAAAGTATGGGAGCATTAATCATACAATATGATCAACTACCGAATTCATAATACATTACCAATCTGCTAGTCGGTTGATATGATTTTCTCCCCAGAAATAGAGAAAAAAGAGACATTAGGCTTTCTTTCATAACACGCAAAAGTAAACTATACTATTATAGAAAGTTGTTA